GCGTGACAGGGGGGAGCTCTCAACCCCTGATGGGCCCTGCTCTGTGCGTGACAGGGGGTGGCACCGCAACCTCCCTATCGACCCTGCCTTGATTGTGACAGGGGGCAGTGCCCCAACCCCCCAATCGGCCCTACCTTGAGCGTGACTAGGGCTGGCATCGCAACCTCCCGATCCGCCCTGCTCTGTGCATGACAAGGGGTGGCGCCCCAACTCCCCAATCGGCCTTGCTCTGAGCCCGACCAGGAGCTGCACCTAGGGATTGGGCCTGCCCTCTGCCACCTGGGAGCAGGCCTAAGCCAGCAGGTCATTATCTCCCGAGGGGTCCCAGACTGCGAGAGGGCACAGGCCGGGCTGAGGGACCCCCCCCTTCCCCCGAGTGCACAAATTTTTGTGCACCGGGCCTCTAGTATAAAATAATATTGCATGTTAACTCTAATTGAAAATATTTTTAAAAAATCATGGCCAGGCCCTAGCCAGCTTGGCTCAGTGGATAGAGCGTCAGCCTGCGGACTTAAGGGTCCCGGGTTCAAGTCCAGCCAAGGGCACATGCCTGGGTTGCAGGCTCGTTCCCCAGTGGGGGGTGTGCAGGAGGCAGCCAATCAATGATTCTCTCTCATCATTGATGTTTCTATCTCTCTCTCCTCCCTTCTTCTCTGAAATCAATAAGGAAATATATTTTTAAAAAATACTTAAATTAAAAAAAATCATGGCCAGTGTAGAGCAGAGAAGTATTGAGATATATTAAAAAGGTTAAAGAAAACACAATAAGGAAAAATTCTTAGGGAGAAAGATAAGGAAAGTGTTATGTGGGAGAAAATCAAAGAGATGTAGGTAGAGCTAGAATCTAACCATGTTGCTTTGCATTATCATTTTCTTACTGACTTCCAGATTCCCTCTTTTCCCAGACCCTTGAGATAAGTTGCACCTTTCTCTATTGCTGAATCTCTCTCTGCCCATAATGATTACTTTCACTGAGTTACTGGGTACCTGCAAGTGAAACATCTCATTTATCTCTTCTCCATGTCAGAATTTCTTTCTTTTTGTCCTCCCATTTCCTTTTTTCCTTCATTTCCATTTGCTGCAAAGTAAATGATAAGGGGGAAGGGAAGAGGAACGAACCAGTTGCATTTCTTAGGGATAAAAGGAAAAGCGTGTGTGTTCTCAATTGTCATTTCTCTTTTTTTATAGTTGGAAGTGCGTGAAGACCCCAGCAGCAATAAGGATCTGAAGGTTCAGTGTGATGAAGAAGAACTCAGGATTTACCAGCTAAACATTCAGATCCGGGAAGTTTTTGCAAATCGTTTCACTCAGATGTTTGCAGATTATGAGGTGTTTGTCATTCAGCCCAGCCAGGATAAGGAGTCCTGGTTTAATAACAGGGAACAGATGCAAAACTTTGATAAAGTGAGTGTAATCTGCTGGGGAGGAGGGTGAGGAATGAAGATTTAACTGATAATGAGTTTTTCTTTCATAATACAGATGACCCTTGAACAATGTGGGGGTTAGGGGTGTCAATCTCCTTCATAGTCAGAAATTTGTCTATAACTTTTGACTCCTCCAAAACTCCAGATGTCCTTTGGTATCTGTTGGTGCTTGATTCCGGGACACCGTGGATACCAAAATTTGCAGATGCTCAAGTCCCATTTTTATTTTTATTTACTTATTTTTAAATATTTTTATTGATTTCAGAGAGGAAGAGAGAGATAGAAACATCCAATGGTGAGAGAGAATCATTGATTGGCTGCCTCCTGCATGCCCCACAACTGGGGAGGGGATCGAACCCACAACCCAGGCATGTGCCCTGACCAGGAATCAAACCATAACCTCCTGGTACATAGGTGACGCTCAACCACTGAGCCACGCCGGCCAGTTTAAAAATGATGTAGAAAAAGGCATACTGTCAGCCCACCACATCCATGGATTCCTAACAGTATTTTCGATCTGCAGTTGTTTAACTCCACAAATGCAAAATCTAGGGATACGGATGGAGGGCCAATTGTATGTTTATTGAAAAATATATATGTATAAATGGACCTGTGCAGTTCAAACCTATGTTGTTCAAGATTAAATGTGGGGATTAAATGTGGGAAACAAGTTCATGATCCTTCTGGTGCTGATAAAATGCAAGGTCTTGTTGCTTTAGAACAGAGTGCTGGTTCTTACTATCAGGTGATTTACCTTCATTGTTTAAAAAAAAATGATGAAGAGATTTTGCTGTTGGCTTTTCATAAAGACCTAGGAAGCTTCAGAGAATTATCCCATTAGATCCTTTGGGTATGTTGCCTTTGCTGGTTAAAGGTGACATACCCTTTTCCCTTTTTCCTCTTCTCTGTTGATGGATGACTGTCTGTTTCCTTGTCTCACCAGGCATCTTTTCTATCAGATCAGCCTGAGCCCTACTTGCCCTTTCTCTCAAGATTCCTGGAGACCCAGATGTTTGCTTCTTTCATTGACAATAAAATTATGTTTCATGATGATGATGATAAAGACCCTGTGCTCCGGGTGTTTGATTCCCGAGTAGATAAGATCAGACTGTTGAATGTTCGGACGCCTACTCTCCGCACATCCATGTACCAGAAGTGTACCACTGTGGATGAAGCAGGTGAGGCCTCCTTGTTGCTGTACTTCTAGCTTCTTGGATTATGTCACTAATGTGTCCCTGCTCCTAAACATGCCAGCTTCTTTCCGTTTCTGCTTTTGCTTAAGTTTTCCCCATAGCCTGAAATGCTCTTTCTTTTTTGCCTGGTTAGCTCTTTTCATCCTTTAACACTGTGTCAATTGGGAATGGGTCCTGCTGTAGGTAATAGAGAAGAGAATCTAATTAGCAGTGGGCTAGAAACATGAGATATTTTCCCCAGATTAGCAAGAAATGCAGGAATTGGTGGTTGCTGGTGTTGGTTCAGCTGCTCGACAGTGTAATCAGGAACTGAGGTTCTGTCTTTACCCAGCTATCCTTAGTGTATCGACTTATATTCATGCTGGGAATTTTAAAAAATATGTTTTTATTCATTTTATTTGAGAGAGAGAGAGAGAAAGAGAGAGAAACATCAATCAGCTTCCTCCTGCATGCCCCCTGCCTGCAACCTGAGCATGTGCCCTGACCAGGAATCAAACCTGCATCTTGGTGAATGGGACAGTGCTGAACCAAATTGAGCCACACCGGCTTGGCCTACAAGAGGCTTTTTATGTTCATATTCAGGGTAAGAAGAGGGGAGGCTGCTATCAGCCAAAGCTTTCTGTTGTCTCATAGGCCAGAACCATGTTATGTGACTATACTTAAGTGCAAGAAAGACTGAAAGGGAGTAGTGAATTGGATGTAATGTTACCCTAAACAGTGTTGAGTTTTATTAGCAGAAAGAGGAGCAAATGAGTATGAGTAGCAGTTGATAGTGTAGG